AATTACCATATGACGCCGCAAACACTCACTCATGGTCCAGAGACGGACCTAAGTAACGCATGTGATACTTGATCCTCTCTCCCCCACTTAATTTTAACTGATCACCTTACCTTGATTTGTATTCTGTTTATCTGACATTGTTCATATAAAGTGTGATGTATTGGCAATGATTACGAATCACTGAAAACGAGATTGTTCGCCACCCTATGACGTTCTCCATGTGCTCTGTGGGATTGTTCGAACAAAGAAGGAAATTCATTCAAATCTATGAAAATACCCTGTGTAAAACAGTGATGTATTCAATAGTCCTGAAATTCATCAGTTAAAGCTGCATGAAGAAACACGTTTGCCCCTGGACTTCACTGAATATAATGTGAGATCATTCCATTCAATGGATCGACTTCATTGTTCTCCTTGTAACTGTCTAAGTAAATAAACCAGCAGACAACTAAATGGACGCATATTGCAACTCATAGTCCTGTGTGACAATTGTATATATCACTAGTGAGTAGATAAATGACTGGACGAGTGGGCGACATGAGACCGTCTGAGTGCATCATCTGAGTAGAATAAAGATGATCGGATGAAGGAGTACGTAATAGCTTCATTCAGAGAACAAATCGTCACTTGGATAAATGAATAAGAGAGCATACAAATGAATCATTCACTGAGCAAATGACTGAATAAATTAGTTCGTGCTTACCCGAAGATAGGGAAAATTTGTATAATTGAGCCCTAAATAATGCGTTAGTGTTTGTCAACACTATCATGTTTTGCTAGCAGTGTTCAATATGCGTATCCACATGTGAATGGCGCGCGCATCCCTATTCTGTTTCATAGCAAATGTGCCGAAGGCTCGTGTGATCATACGGGATGCACGCTTCATGTTAACCGAATTGGCAACTTTCGTGAACCTCTGTGAACACCACCAAGATAATGGTACGTTTCCCTTTTCAGCTACTTCTTTCGACAAAGACTCACGTATTTTGTCTCAAGTTCTCCTCATCAGGTTGTGCAGCAACCATCCCCATTCCTTGAGCCATCGATCTGACTGAAACGGATTCAGCTGCCTCAAACACGATACGGGGAATTCGCGGCTGCGGTCAACAGAACCCATTCCATTTGAATATCCTTGTTTACCACATGTTCTTGGTTCTATAAAATAAGATATGCATAAACATAAGAAGACAAATAACTAACTCGCACGTGAGTATCCTAAAGAACAGTAAAAAAAGCCATCCGTTTTTTCGGGACAGCGAATTCATCAGCAGCCCAGTCTGCAAGGAATCAAGCATAGCAGTACGGAAGCAAGGTCACGGCACAGATAGTGAGTCAATAAGCCTTCTTTCTAACACCAAGTGTTTACTTCGGTCACAGAATGGTAAACTAATCTGTAATTAAGATAAATAACAGAATCATCAATGAATGGATCCGAAAAAGGCCTGTTTGGGTCTCAGATGTACGTTTTTCCCACGGTGTATCACACTGATAACGTGGACCCGTTTGCGAATTCGAGTCTCCAGAGGACTGTTTTATGTAAGGGTGGAATATTCAGCATTTTATTCTTACAGTAGAAATGTAAAGTGATAGGCCACCAGCATCAGAAATGCAAACGCATAAGGTATGCAATATACATGGTAGACAGATATAAACTATGCCGGTACTATGGAAACATAGATAATAGATACCGAATAATACAGGCCCTTGCTACTCGTGCACCCTAAGCATGAGTAAAGTGTGGAGGATCGTTATCAGAACACAACTAACATTATCTTGCTTTATATTCTTTTTATGAGCCAATATTTCTGATACTCAAACCAGCACACAGCATTACTAGTGCTTAGTACGATGGCAAAATTCAAATAAACGGAAGTACCTCTCATATTGCCTCTTCGTGTTATTCTACAGTTGAGAAACCACCCTCATTTGTACACAGAAAATAGAACCTGGTAGACTTAGGTGGATTTTGTCCATTTACTCCACATTCGATCATCTGTGAACAATTTCCGTACGGGCATGAATTTTCCCGCCTTCGGTCAAAAACTTTCATTGCTGTAAGTGTGCACTGATGCACCCTGGCTTGTTTTCAATTCGCCCGCTTCTAAGTGTATTATTCGGTTGCAATGCTACTTTCCCCCGTAATTTTCTCTCCCATTTTGCTTTCGTAAATAATGATATTATTGTTCTGGTTCATTTAGTTTTCTTCATTATCAATCAGTTTTGAAACATTCGGTTGTGTGTTTCTTTTTATCGTCAGACGTTGCAGTTAAGTTGAGGGGAGATATGGCCAAGTTGGTTGAAGCCACTGATACAGTTGCAGCAAACAGTGAGTGCAATTTGCCACCTTGTACGTTTGTTCATTTCTTTGGCAAATTAGGCAAATGCAACTCATTGGTTGTATATCGTGACATTTCAGATATTGTTATCTGAACTAATTATTCATTTTCACTGTTCTTATTTCGCTCTGACGTTCCAAAATAAACTCAACCCACGGGCAGTA